TGTTACATCACACCCTGACTGGCTCATCTCCTCCCCGAGACCCCTCTGCAAGGGGATCTCCAGTGGCCTACTAATGGGCTTTGGATCTCCACTCTGCACTCCCCCCATCATTCACTATGGTAAGATTTTTTGTTCTGATGATGCCTTATACCTGATCCCTTCGACAAGGATGGAGATAATTATAGGACTTATTCATAGGGTGGGAGAAAGGTGAAGTGTTCGATTACTGTAAAGATTTCAAGTCTGGGAAACCCACAGGGCAGTTTTACACTGTCGTGTAGGGTCATTGCTGTGAGTTTGGTGCATTTGGTTGTCAGAGAATAAAAATGAGTGTGGGTATGTACAGGTACCATTTGTAACAGTATTTGAAAGAAAGTTCTCCTCTGGACTCACTTAGACAGATGGAGTCAGCTGGCAGCTCAGCTGGGGTGAGAATGCCTAAAATGGCCTCCTATCTGGGTTGGGTGTGTGTGTGTGTGTGTGTGTGTGTGTGTGTGTGTGTCTTTTGGTCTGTCTCCTTGTTCTTTCATTCAGTGGTTTACACAAGACTTCTTACGTGGCCAAGGGAGCATTCCAAGAGGGTGAGTAGATCTGAAAGATCTTTTAAGAATATCCTTGGGACTCATACAACAGCAGTTCTCCAATAGCGGTCACAGTAAGTCACACGATCAGCCTAGATTGAAGAGGGGGAGAAATGGAGTCTTCCTTTTATGGGAAGGGCATTGAGGTAGTGTTCACTAGCAACTCCTATAGAGTTGCTTTCTGAGAAGACTGGGTGCATTTTCTTCAAGTACATCAACTTCTGTCTACTTTCCAGGAGGAATGAAATGCCTTTCTATCTGGGTAGGAATATGTCAGGATGTTTATCATTGTAATAGAACAGTTTTGCGAGCTACATGTTTTATGAGAAAAACACCTGTAAATTAAGCAGTTGTTTTAGGGGTTCTCCAAATAATTAGAGAGCAAAGGAGGCCATATTTGTGAATGATGTATTTTCTATATTGATTTTTAAAAAACATTGATACTCTGTGCATCCAGAAATTAACAGGATCTCTATAAAAGAATAGTTACTCTAAGATATAATGATTTATAAATTATTATAAGGGTTCATGAGGAAGGGTAGCGGGGAGGGGGGGAGGGGGGAAAGGAAAATGAGGAGCTAATTCCAGGAACCCAAGCGGAAAGCGAATTTTGAGAATGATGAGGGCAACAAATTTATAAGTGTGCTTTACAAAATTGATGTGTGTATGGATTGTGATGAATTGTATGAGCCCCAATAAAATGATTTAAAAAAAAGAATAGTTACGCAATAAATATTGAATGAAGCAATGAATTAACTAGAAAGAGGGAACACATATTTGAACCTAGTTTTGTTAACTCTATCTGGCTAATTTCTTTTTTTTTTTTTTTTTTATTTTGATCCATGCTGTTTTTTATTGTTGTTCACACAATGGTCTCATGGTCCGAGCAGGTTTAGCATGAATACAATAGTGTGTC